GTTTCATCATTCTTCGCTCTAGTGATGATTTTTATTTGGGTGAATAGGATTGTTATTTGATTATGGTATTTCATTGGTTCAGCAATTGCGTCTCAATAGAAATGAGATTCTTTATTTATCACTTGAGTCCAACTCCACTTTCCTTGTAGATATTTTGCATTCATTGCTATGACTGTTGATAAGTCATTATGTTCGTTCATTCTCATTGATTTCAAAACATGTAAGGAACCAATGAGTCTTCTCGCATATCACTTATGTTTGAAGATCTTCCACCACGAGTTCCCTGTGGTCCATTCAAGTTCAAGCTCAAATTCATCATGCCCATTTGAGTTTGAGTCCAGAGTCCTTTGTTTGTTTAAATTGCAAATTCATGTTCACTTAAGTCTAAGTCCAAGTTTCTTTGTGATCATATTGGGTTCAGATTCTTATCACACAAGTTAAGTTTGAATCAAGTTCAAGATGAGTTTAGGTTCATTCATCCTTTTGAGTTCAAAACACTTCTTGCTCAAGTTTGATTTTAAGTTCAAAATTCCTCTTTCATTTTGTCTAAGTTCTTTGTGTCCAAAGTCTTGTTCAAGTACCCTGCGTCCTTGCAAGTTCAAGTTTAATGTCCACCACACTTAGTTCATTTGAGTTTGAGTTCGAGCAAATGTGTTCAATTTCAATTAGATTTAAATTCAATTAAGTTTGATTTAGGCTCAATTTTATGTTCAAATTAAGTTGTCCAAGTCCTTATTCGTTTCAAGCAAAATTTCGGCAGCCTCCCGACGTCTCTCTGTTTAGGAGAAAATACGGGAAACTACGGGCCTTCCCACTATACTAAGAAAAGCATGTATGATAGGTGTCCTCGGACGAGGACACCGCAGCCGTATTTTCTTTGTCCCCCACCACGCTAAAAAAAGCGTGTATGGGTCTTCAGTACCTATTGCAAAAGAAAAGCAACTGTTTCCCCGCAAGCGAGTACTTATGGGTATCACCACTTTGCCGTACGCATCGTACCGGATTCCTATCCCACCACGCTAAGAAATGCGTACATATGCAGTTTACAGTGTGCCACGAACACCGAAGAAGGGATTTTAGGTGATTACCCGCTACGTCGCAAGCATCGCGACGCACTTCCTCTCACCATGCTAAGAAAAGCGTGTATAGGTGGTCGTTTTGTCGCGTTGCGTGCATCGAAATCAAGCTCTCGGAGTTTGCAAAACTTTCTTCTTTTCTTTTTTTGTTTAGCATTTTCTTTTTCTTTTCTCTATCTTTTTTTTTTAACTCTTTTTTTTTTGAAACATCTCTCCCTTTTTTTCATTTTTTTTGGATGTTTCTTTCCTTCTTTTTTTTTGAATTTCTTTTCTTCTTTTTTTTTTCATCCTTTCACAAACATACATATGTATAAAAGCAATAATAAAATACTAATACCACTACTAATAAGCAATAATAAAATTAGTTAGTATTAATAATAGTAATATGATATTAAAATTAGTATTGATATTAATAAATACTAATATTAATACTTATTACCAAATATAACTAATAATAACAAAAGCAGAGAGGCATTACCTCTTTGGTCGGCTACAGGTAGGGAGAGAGATGAGTGGGCTTGTGAGGGTTCGGTTATGTCGGTTAAGTTGAGGTTTCGACTGCTTGAGAGGGGAGTTCGGTGAAATGGAGTAGGAATATCCTTGAATGGATGTGAAGAACCGGTTCGGCTACACAGGAGGAAGATCGGAGCTGCAGGATTTGGGAGCTAGACGTCGGGTTAAGAGGTTGGGAGGAGGTGGGGTTTGGATTTGGAGATCGGAAGGAGACAGGTTGGAAGCTCGGTTGAGGTAGGTGAAAGCTTCCTCTCTCTCTCTCTCTCTCTCTCTCTCTCTCTCTCTCTCCTCTCTCTCTCTCTCTCTCTCTCTCTCTCTCTCTCTCTCTCTCTCTCTCTCTGGCCGAAGGGATCGGATGGGGGTTCGAGTTGTGGAACTCTAAACAGAAGTTCGGTTGGAGGCATTGGATATGAAAGAGGCGAAAGGTCGTGAGGGAGATTCGAAGCAGTGATGGGAGCTCGGTCGCGTGAAGAAGGCGACAGGTTGAGGTTTGGGATTTGATGGAGGCGGATGTTTTAGATCGTGAGGTTTAAGATGGATACTAGATCGGAAGTCTTTCAGGAGTTTGACTTCGTGATGGAGGAAGGAGATGAGGGATTCGTGAATTTTGGCTTTGTGTGCGGGAAAGAAGATAAATGCCAAGCAACCCTGTCGAGAGCCTCGAGCTCTCGTTTTAACGACGCGAATGGCGTGATCGACGAGCTGCTTAGCAAGAAATCCGGGAAGATATCGCTTCGGCACCGAAGTTAGCAAAGGGAATCGACGTTAGGCAGAGACCGTCGATCAGGTCGGAAGAGGGAAAGGTGTGGAGATCAGGAGTTGTAGTTGCTGGAGGTAGAGGCGAATGCAAGCAGAGTTTCGGGACAGCGGTTGGAGGGAAGCAAAGAAACAATGAGAGAGGGAAACAAAGAAACAATGAGAGGTTCTGCTTGATTGGCTTTTAACGACATCAAAGAGCAACAATCGAGGCTAGTTTTGCACAGATATCGCAGAGATGAGATAGGAGCGACGTCGATTTGCAGGTTAATAGGAATTCTACGAAATTTCGAGATTACATGGATTTTCATTTGATTTTGATGATTTTTTTTAGTTGCAGTTGAGGTCAACAACTACATGGTTTGTTCCCATACTTCCCTTGATGAAATTGGTTGGTTAATTGCGGAAGAAGCACTAAACTATTCCAAAGAGGAAAGAAAAGGGACAACCCAAGCTACATATAAGGGAGTATTGCACACATTTCACTATCCAAGTATACTAAGAGAGAGAAAACAACTACTAATCTGAAAAAGTGATGCAGGCAAACTAGAAAGAAAGAGCCAAGATAGGAGAACACCAGGATTAGTAGAATAAAACTCAATCCAAACTAGAATGCTAACATCTAAACAAACACCAAAACAAACGAAAGCAAAACAAACGAAACAAAATTAAAATTAAAAAATACTACCCTCATAACAACCGACAAGCGGTTTTCTCACATGCAACGAAAAAGTAGGTAAAGTAAAATAAGTGCTTAAGGGCTTGCAAACCAATGATCCACCACAGCTACAAGGTCCAACGTCCAACAAAACTTCTCCGGCAAATGTCACCAAATCAGCCAACAAAAACCTCCAATAGCTCAAGAAGAAGGATACAAGTGGAGTAGAACTTGTGGAGAGAAGAAGAGGTTAGAAGCCCAAGACGAAATAGAGAGGAAGAAGAGAGATGGAACAAGCTCTCAAGCTTTTCCAAGCAAGAAGAAACCCTCCAGTTTTGTAGAGACTTTGCTCAAATATTCAACAACCTTTTATGTCTCAAAACATCCCCAATTTATAAGAGAAAAAGGGGGCAGCCAAACAGCCATTCAAGCTCCAACTAAACCAATCAGGTAAGGGGAACTAGAAGGCCAGAAATTATTCCAGAACAGCACCAAAAAAAAACCACACAGAAAGCCGGGTAAAGCAGCCACGGGACAAGCAGCTAGGGGAGAAACCAAAGGGGCAACACATCGAATCGGAACCAGCAGCCAGGGGAGCCGAAATCAGCAAAGGGAATCGGAACAGGCAACCAGGAAGGGAAAACCGAAGAGGCAAAGAGAATAGAAAAAGACAAGAATCCACTCCACATAATGAGCTAACAAGTGGAATAACTTTTCATAATAATGAGCTAAACATCAACTCAAGCATTTATGAGCTAGAACCAAGCAGCTCCCAAAAAACACAGCTCAAAACCAAACAGTCAAGCCCAACCCGAGAGGCAACCAGCAGCCCAAAGACAAAAAAAAACCCAAGTAGCTAGCACACCCAAGGTTTTCCATGCCCAAGCACTACCTACTCATGATCATTGGATGTTCTCCATCATATGCTAGCATAAATAAAAATTAAAAAAAAAAACTATAGCATTCAAATTACAATAAAAAAATGAAAATAAACTGAAATTTGCATGCATAAAAAAGTAGTCATACTCAGTTATTACTAATCAAAGCTCACTGAAAATCTTCTAGTAATATAAGTTGACCGCTGGTGTGATTATCTTTACAAGTGTCATGGCCTGATAGATGATGTGCCACAGGTGCTTTCATGGATAGAGTTGGAAGTCAAAGTTTTGGAAAAAGAAATCGGAACATTGAATGATAAAACCTAATGACGACCAATTGGTTGAGTATCCAAGTTTGAAATTAAAAAGGATAAAATCTAGAGGAGCTATTGCTAGCGAATATATGAAAGAAAAGCTTTATACACCAAGGTAGAATAAAGTGATAAAAAAATTTATTTGACTTTTATAATTTTCATTGTTAGCATAATTTTCCACGCCATTGAAGTAAGATGTGCCACCTGCGCAACCATGATGAATTAACATCATCCACAACTTCCTCTATCTTATCATTGGTAATCTATTCAGAGCCACACACAATAGTTGCAAAAAAACATGTGTGCGCTCATTTCAGGACTTCACCTTACATCATAAGTTGACGTCCATGTTAATTGCAAAGTCACAATCCAAAATCAGTCATTAATGTGTTCTTAAGTTATATCTGTTTGCAATTGCTACCGTGTTAACTGCAATGGCTGGCATTGGGGTATACCATGGAAATGAAAAGTTTCACAATAACTCACAAGATGCATAAGTGGATATAATATGAAGAATAAAATATGTATTTCCTCTTATCACAGTTGCAATATTATTAAATGTAAATTTCATGCATAAAGATTTGCAGAGTTAACAATGGAAAAATACTAAGAGAATAGGGGAGAAGTAATTAGAAAATCACCAACGCTTCTAGCATGTTATTAGCAGTATTGATCACATTCTAATAAGAAGAACAATTAAAATATTGAATTTACATGGTTAAAAAGGTAAAAAAAATAAAAAAAACAGATAATAACAGTTTCATATTGATAACATCATTAGCTGGGAAATGCAAAAGAAACTTACGGGATGAAAACAAGTAGCTCCGGATCACCCTCATTACTTTCCAAAAAGCCCTGATAAATTGACATTGATAAAAAACTGTTAAAATTAGACAAAATGTGACCTAGAAAATTATTGAACCTGGAAAAATTATACCGAAATATTCAAAAAGCCGTAATAAATGCAGCTAAACATTAAATTTAAGCAGTAGAAGAATGGTTGGGTAGTTGATTTCATATATATATTCATGAAAATTTAATATAAATTAGCTAAAATGTGCTTGCAAAAAGTACTTTTCTTGCTCGTAGGAGGGCTTTCTACATTAAAGAGGCTGTTTAGACTAGTATTTTAGGCTTAGATTTAATGTTTAGATTTAAACTTATTTTACAAGGAATGATTGGGGTTATGAAAGTAAACCTAATCAAAATATCATGATTCTATTATCTCAGTGTGTTCCAAGAGACCTAATCTACCAACATAAGAGAGCCTTTGTCTAATGATATTTTGATTAGGTTTACTTTCATGGCCGAATTGCAGGGATTTGAGCAGGATTCTACACAGTAATAATAATAAGATATAGTATTTTAAAGTATATAATTATAATTAACATATTATTATTATAGATTAATTTAAATTAATAAAAATTGATCATTGCACTCCCTCATTCTCGTCATCTCGATTCGTGTGCATCACCTTAAAATTCTTATCGATTTCACATTTTTTCTTGTGCAAGAGAACTCAAGCAATATTACAATCATTCTCAGGTATTTTCGACATTCTAGGCATAACAATGAAGTCCGTTTCGTTAACAGACTTAAGTGAAGCACATTTGAGCACTTAAGTGAAGCATTGCGTTAGCAAAAAGTCGAGCTCGTCAATTGTCGCCTTCGCCCGCATTGATTTGGTGGATGTTTAGAGGTCAACATTTACCTGATTAGGTGAACTTCACCAAGTCCTAAGTCAAACTCTTAGGCAAGTTTACCTTACTCTATTAGGTAAAGATTTTTTCTCATCCCAACACTAAGAGACCTCTAATAAAATATTTTAAAAAACTACCCATGTTCTATTTTAATCAATGTATGTGTCATCCCATCTCGATAGGTGGGATGTTTATATCATTAGATCTCAGGACACCGTGAGCAATAAATTTGCCTCAAAGTAAACAATTGTTACTCTATGGATTCTTCATAGCCCTCATAAATATGAAACCTTGAAAAATCAAATAAATGTTTTAAGTCACAAATAACTTAAAGTGAAACCACCCTTTGGATTAAAAATTAAATCTCCTCAAATTCAACAACTGAAATAAGATACTAATTCATAGTGTGACATATTACACGTACAGATCAATACACACTTAGATGCACAGTCCCTACATATCCTAAGATTTATTTTTCTTTTATGCGCATGTGATTGATGTACTTGTTGTGATGATTATTAGATTATCTATGTTTTGGACACTTACACTCAAGTGTTAGGATAGAGATATATAATATTATTTTAAGCAGGTGATCATGTCCAAAATGAGATCAAAGTCATTATTATATAATATTGTTTACTTGCAAGTGCTGCTTAACCCCCTTCTTGAGACATGGTTAATAAGGTAGAAGAAAGGCTTAACACTTTAAGTGTCAAGCAACCCTGACATATTAAATGTTTCATAATCCTCCTATTTTGCAAGTTTGTTTTTTCTTTCTTAAAATGTAATTAATAAACTTAGGGAGTTATATAGGTCTGTGGGATACACTTAAAGAAGTGATGAACCAGAAGGATGAATATCCCAAAAGGAAGTCTTGAACGCATCAAGAGTCATAGGTTGCAGACCCACAAGCTGAGTTTATTAAAATGTAAATAAGTTGTATAAGACAGACAACTCAGTTAACATTCATAATTCTAATAATTAAGCTTTTATTCTTTACTTTCCTACTAGTTGATTTAATATATATGCACATGATTGTTTGTCAATTTTGAATGCGCATTAAAAGTACATGTTTTTTTTCAAAATTGATTCTAAGTTGATCAAATCCATCTTGAAATTCCTCAAAAATCAAATTCTTGAAAAGAATTTCTATGAATCAAATCAAGCAAAATTGCTAGTCAATGTTTTGTTAAAATAATGTAAATCACTATTTTAATCAAAGGTATTCCTAAAATGATGTAATTAATCATAGAGGCTTACCTTTCTGGAGAACATATACTCCAGAATAAAATAAACCCTACTCGATCTAATATATTGAGTAAGAAAAAATCTCTAGTAAAATATAAAAATGCAAATTTTGTTATTATGCTAATAGTAAAATACTATTTGTATCATTCAGGGTAAAATATTATTTCCTATGCCATATTTGATCACAAAATATTCTTATTTATTGAGAATGATAAAATTCCACCAACAAATAGATAAGAATTTTGTGCTATGTATGTAAAGCCCAAGAAATAATAGCTTTCCTCAATGAACTAAAAGATGATGTAACTTCAGTTTTTTATTATCCTTTATTTTATATTATTAGCTATGTTGACCGAAGAACTCCTTCCCTCACATCAACATTGGTCAAGGGACCAATCACAACCTTCTCTTCATCAGTGATTTGGATGATAGTAGTCATATCCAACACATTCTGAGAATGGGGTACTTAATAAACCAATATTATTAAGATCACAATACTACTACACTGGTTGTTGCACAATAATACCCTGAAGGCTTCTATTGGACATTGGCCATGCACCCAGATCACAGGATAGTGAAGAGAAGCAAAGCTCTGGTTGGATTAAAGATCAACGGTCACAAAGGGTAGTCTTCAACTAGGCTAGATCAAAGATCAAGGATAATTGGTCTTCATGCTAACCTGATCAATGGTTATTTGACAGATCGCATGAATTCTTTTGGATTTTTCAAAAAAATTGTAATTTTATACTTTTTTTTTCTTTATTTATTTCACTTATCTCTCCAATGTTTAAGGGGGTTACAACAGCATCCAATCGCTTTTTGGTGAGTAGTGGAAGAATCAAATGCCCTAACCAGCTTATGTCAAAGATCGATGATCACAATAAACTTCAAAATCCATCCCGATCAAAGATCAACACAATAGAGGGTGGTCTTTAGTCCCACTTGGATAATGAAATGATGAACCTGAGTCTTCATACTAATCAAATCAAATATCAAAGGCCTTCAAACTAATTGGATCAATTATTCTTCAATTGTTTTACATGCATTTGTGCACAATAAAACATCAAAGGCCTTCAATCAAAATTATGCTTGTGCTCTTGCACATTGGTCTATTGTCACCAGACTCCGAGAAAATATTGAGGCGAGGGCATATTAAAGAGAGATGGGTCAGGTGTAAGTGTCGGTGTGTACAGTGGGCACACCCGTGCAACGGCAAAATGACGTTGTTGCTAGACAGCTAGGAGACTATTAGAAAACACTTGAAGTTATCAAGAATCCCTATCAATCTTTGATAAAACAGTGAAAACTTACCTCCAAAATCCAATGAAAGCCAGGGAAACAATAATTTTAATGCAAGAATCAAATAGAATGGAAGAAAATAACAAGATACAGTTGATCCTCAATTCGAGAGGAGGATCTATCTCTCCCAAATCTCTATACGGTGCTAAAGCCCAAAAAAACCTAAGAGATCAAATTTCAGCCAAATTCAAGATGTCCTAACTCTAGGAAAAATAATTATTTAATGCATACAATATAAAAGGAAATCTCTAAACAACCACTAAATTCAAATTTCCCTCATAACTCCCTCAAAAATCCTTCTCAAATAGCTCCCTTGGACCTGGGCGATCGGATCGATGCGTACAGGAGGCGGATTTCCCGTAAGCCGGTCCCGTATGGACCGATTGGACCGGTCTAGTGGACTGGTCTAAAAATACTCCACTCCCAAAGATCCACCTTGTCCGCAATGTGGAAAGACAACACCTTCCTCCATTCCCTCGCCATCACAAATGGTAAAAACCTGAAGAGTTCGGTCCTTGCACTTGAGCCCTGGAGTATACTTCTCATCACATCTGAAACGGAGCCACTTCGCCCTCTTGTCCTGTAATTCCATTTCTGTGAACTTCTTGAAGTTGTCCCCAAGTCTTCCTCCTACAGTTTTTTCCTTTGAAGTCCCTCGAAGAGTATCAAGTGTTGGCTCCTTAGATGCCAGTAAGGTGGTAGTCATTCTCTATGAACCTACTGAGCTGTTGCCTCCCATTTATCTCTTCAGGTGCCTTTGATCCTCCACCAACTAAGCTAGTTCCATAACCTCTCCCAAGTCATGAGGCCTCATCACTTTGATTGCCACCAAGATCTCTGGTTTCAATCCTTTCATAAAGTTCCCATCTAGCACGGTCTCAAAAAGGCGGTCCAGTCGGCTAGCAAGGTACTCAAACCTCTCCTGGTACTCTATCATTGAATCAGCTTGTGTTAAGGCAAAGAACTGCTCGTAGAAATTTCCTCCCCTGCCGGTTCAAAATCGTTCTAACAAGCAATCCTTAAACTCCCTCGAACTCTGTATGGGTCACCGCATATCCCTTCACTGATAACAAGCCAAAGTCTTTTCTTTTAAACATAGGTTCGCTGTCATCAGTCTCTCCTCATCCATCAACCTATTGACAGTAAAGCGGCTTTCCACCCTGTAGATTTACCCATAAGCATTCTCTCCCTCAAAAATAGGCATCTTCAGTTTCCTCACTCAAAGATCTCCTCCGCTAACCCTACTTCCTCCAAAATTTCCCATTCCCCAAGGGGTGGTTCCCCCCAATTGTTCCAATCATCCTTCCTCTTCTCCCACCCAAACCTTTCATCACAAGCCCACCTTCTCCCTTTAAATTCAGCACCCCTTCGATCATATTCAACCCCTCTCCTTTCAAATTCAACACATCTTCGATCATATAATCAAGGAATTCAACCCCTCTGCTTTCAAATTCAACATCCCTCCACTCATGCCCAACCCCCTCATGCCTCTCCACATACTTTCTATTAGACTCCTCCCGGGGAATAGGCCCTAGGGGAGGCTTTTTTTTTGTTCCTTCTGAAATCTCCACCTCCTGATCCTCCAATTGTCTGATTGGCTTCTCCACT